TGCCACAAAACCTCGGCAACCCACTTCCACTGGATAAACCTGGACTCTCCATCCTCGCTGTCCTGCTTCAGTGGCCAGATGAGCATACCGCAGTTTCTTCCTCTCATATGCCTCATCTACCGCATCCTCCCATGGCACTGTTAACTCTATCAGTTGAACAATGCGTGCTGATCCAGACCACAAAACAATATCTGGTCGTAGGTTAGTGGTGGCAATCTCAGGTGGAAAAATAAGCCGTTGATCAAGATCAGCCAGCATCTTCCAGTCCCTAGCAGCTTCCAGTTGTCCTGGGCGAGAATTGGTGTTAACACCTTTTCTTGGTGGTTGCTCGCCTGGGCGGAGGAATATTGTCTTCTGCGTGTAATGTTTTGCTAGAACAGGTGGCAACTTATTGGTCATGTTACGCTTGCCTTCTAATGCTAAAGCCAAACATCGCAGTACTTGGTCATGGCGCCAAGTAAACCGCCCTTGGCTAAGAGCCACCTTACATCCTGTCAAAATGTGCCTTAATGTGGCAGGTGATGAACACAGAGGACAAGAGGGATCCTCTCCTACCCAGAGCTTTAGGTTCTGCGGTGATGGGAGAACATCATATGTTGACCTAATAAGGAAACTGATCCTACTCTCTTCCATTGACCAAAGGTCTTTCCAGCCCATCTTACGTTGTTCCACACTCTCCCATCTCATCCACTCTCCCTGCTTGGCCTGGGAAATGGCCTTTATACACCTCATCCTCTCCTCCTGCTTACGCACCTCGTTGACTACCAGCTTCCTCCTTTGAGCTGGGCCTGCCTTGTGCCATTTAGGAGGAGCTAAACTGAGCCCAAAACCCCCTCTTCAATGCTGTACCTGTCCCACGATATCCCCAATTTGAAGGGCAGCCTTTGCCTCTACTACAGATTTCTTTGCTGACCACTTTCTACCAGTTTTTAACACAGGGGCTGCCTCCCTTACACATTTGTCGCGTGACTCTACTAAGGTCATTTCCAGTCTGACCTTGGCACACTTAAACTCCTCAGTTAAAGCAGAGACGGGCAGCTGCAATATTCCAGGAAAAACAGGAAAGCTTGAGCATTCTGTCCTTATCAGGGTCTCATCTTGACATCATGTCCCGTTTTTGGTTTGTCTACATGTCTTTGGTCCATGTTGCATTCATATATTATTTGAACCGCACCAGAGTTCATTTGGAAGCGGACCAAGACCCATCTTTTCAGCGGTCTTGGTCCGCTTGTTTGGTGCGCACCAGGGTTCGGATGGCAGCGTTCACGCTTATTCAAATGAACCGCACTAACAGAGAAATCGCACCAGGGTTGGTTTTAATTGGACCAAACATGCCAAGTGTGAAGTTCACACCCTAAGTGTCACAATGGTATCGGTGTATCCACACCCTGGCAACCATTTAGAGCATCTTATAGATTTCACATCTGGAAGAGAGGTGTACGCATGTTTTTTTGTGCGTATGTTTGTTCACTGAATCACACGTACGTATATTTGAAAAATGATCGTAAGATCAAATGTAAGATGGTTTCTACACAACATTTTATAAATGAGGCCCTTGGTCTCTATGAAGCCCCTTCTTTTGAGCGTTTCGGAAAACGGCCCATACCATAAACACGAGTTTCAACACTACTAATGTGGCTCAACCAGGCCTCGTCACGCTTTTTTTGCATTTGAAGTGGGAATTATTTAAATGAGGAATATTGTGAGTTGTACATTCCCAGAAGAAAACACAAGACTACAATGGAGGCATTTCAGGGAATTCAGAAACATAGAGAAATATAGGCTATAGAATAACTCCCTTTGGTGCTTTGTATCTTTGTAGACCTTTTTCATGCTCAAACAGCAACATTACTCACTAAAGAAAGTTGTAAAAAAGCATAGAAGGACCCTTTTAAGATACTATACAGCCAAACATAAAATAATTATTATCTTATATGAATACCACTGATTGCAGCATCAGTCCCCCTTGAGGTCACCAAAAGTCAAGTACTGTAACAGAGACAGTATATAGACCTTATTCAGAGCAGAGCCATGACAGGTATGAAAGTGAGGCTGTGAGGTATAGACTAACCATGTTTTCAATGGCATCCGCTGTAAAAAGCTATATAGTTCAGAGATCACTTATAATTTTCCACAGCTCATACAGTCTCCGTTTTTATGTCTACTGACATTTCTTGGAAATCAGAAGAACAATCCAAAAACAGATTAAATATCAGTACAACCAACTGAAGAGATTTACGTCTATCCCTCACAGCCTCACTTTCATTCCCGCTAAAGATCAAAGATGGCGCTGCTGTGAATAAGGTCTATAAAGACAAAGAAATGCACAAGCCACAGATAAAAGAATTGCACTGCACAATATAGAGGCTACAGGAATGGACGTTTTGCCTTTACATTGCCCTTGCCTTTTACTTGATGCCTTTATGTCAATTGCTTGCAAAGCACAAATAAAGTAATCTTCAGAAACATTCAGACAAATGTGGCTGTGCTCAGCTTGTAATTGTATGGTAAAAAAACAAAACGCAAACACATCACAGGAATTAATAATACACATTGAGCTTTTTGAGCTATTCCACTTTTGATTTGCCATCATTTAGAAATGCTCACTGCTAATTTACATGGGTAAATATGGACATAAATGCAAAGATATTTGATAAGCAATTATACCAACCGCTTGGGGTTTAATTCACAGCGGGCCACTAATATTTGCTCATTGGGGAATTGCATATAAAACTAAACTCTTCTTGTAAATGATGATCATAAAATACCCTTGGAATTGAAAAACAGTGTCTGTGTTGTCAGAGTTTTAACGTTGCTGTTGACCAGATGAAAATCTGCACTGTTATTTCTTATTCAGCTTATGACCATCTCACCGAACCAGAGAGCACAAAATAAGTAAAAGGAGCCGTTCACATGATGCATCCTTGCAGCTTGATTGAGTGCAAGTACAACGTCGGCACACAATCTTAAAAAAGTGGCATTGAGAGACTAAAGATGTAAAGACTAAAGAAACAGTCAGATCGAACATCCAAAGATGCCCATTTTACACGTTTACATAGCATACGCCAACAATTAAAAACATTAGTATTTAATTTATTCCATTTATGCTTTGGGGGCTTTTCAATGGAAGCTTGTTATCTCACAATTCTGTCTTTTTTCTCTCTCAGAATTGCGAGATTTAAACTCATAATTGTGAGTTATAAAGTCAGAATTGTGTGATAAGAACTCGCAATTCTGACTTTTTCTCGCAATTGCGAGTTTATATCTCACAATTCTGGCTTATTTTTAGTTTAATCTTATCTTTAGTTTTTAGTTTAGTTTACCACTTAATTGGGTTACAAAAAGGTTTAAAACACACATTATAGACTTAACATATGCATATCCAGACACGTAACCATTTTAAAACACATAAACCATATTAAAATATGAATAAATCATAATGCGTATTACAACATGCTTCCAAATAATTTCAGTAACTAATAAATACCAAAATAATACATTAATAATCCTTTTAAAATGTCAAATTACAAAGACGGATAGCCTCTGGCACAAAAGTAAACTTAGTAAAGGTTGGTCACAGACTTAATACTTCCGAAGCGCCTACCCGAAGGTATTATCTCAAAGTGAGTGTTCAAGGGGTGCGTGTTATCGCCCATAATACTCCAGGCTTTCCTTATCACTTGCTGCTCATAAAACAGAATTAAACTCCGCAGACTAGGGGCACGCCGGTAATTGCGAGTTATAAAGTCCAATTCTGAGGAAAAAAGGCTAACTTTTTGCTCAGAATTACGCATTTATATCTCACAATTCTGACTTTATAACTCGCAATTGAGAGTATATATCATGCAATTCTGAGAAAAAAAGTCAAAATTGTGAGATAAAAAGTCGCAATTACCTTTTTTTATATTCAGTGACAGAAACGAGCTTCCATACTTTTTTTTTCAGTGAATAGTAAGTGTTTACATACAAAAAAAAAGTTTGTCAAATTTAATTTGCACCAAAGCAATTTTTTTCAATGCCATGTAAATGCAGTCCTAATGTACACAGAAGCTGCATTTATTTGATCTAAACTACAGTAATATTGCACAAAAAACGGTAATATTGTGAAAAGTATTACAATTTCAAATATCTTTCCTATTTGAATATATTTTGAATTGTCATTTATTCCTGTGATGCAAAGCTGAATTTTCAGCATCATTACTAACCAGTCTTCAGTGTCACATGATCCTTCAAAAATCATTCTAATATGCTGATTTTGTGCTAAAAAACCCAACATTTCTTATGATCAATGTTGAAAAAAGTTGTGATGCTTTTTGTGGAAATGGTAATTCGTTTATTTCAGGATTATTTGATAAATAGAAAGTTCAAAAGAGCAGCATATTTTTTTGTATACAATGTATGTGCACTCCAAAAAAATGCATGATTGTTTCAACCCATGTTTGGGTCAAATAGACAAACCCAACTGTTGGTTTAAATTAAACAGTTTAAACCTAGGTTAATTTAAACCAACGGTTAGTCCATATTTGACCCAAATATGGGTTGAAACAACCCAGTATTTTTTTTTAGAGTCTGGTTGTTTGATTGATTAATTAGCGTATCATCTAATTAATCGTTTTTCTGCATAGCTCTACAATGGTCTACAAGGCCACAATAGAAGAGAATAATGAGTGGAGCGTGCTCAGATCACACATAGTGCCAGCATGGCTGTTCAGCAGCCCCTGCAGCTTGTGGCGCATTAGAATGCAAAGCATCCCAGTGAGAGGATGGGTGTGTGAGGAGGAGAATTAGAGAGAGAAAAAAGAGAGGAAGAAAGAGGAGCAAAAGAGCTTTAGTGTTACAAAAACAAGCCCATCGGTGCATGCCCGTGAAAAACATCCACACGTCTGCTCCGCTTTCGAAACTCCCGTGAGTCACCCCAGCATTCCCTCCAAAAGAGGCTCCTGTGAGCTCTCGCTCATTCCTCCTTCCTTAAAATCTCCTCCTTTTCCCCCATGTGACAGGTCCAAATTGCTTCGCTGGTACCACAATCATCCCAGCTGGCATTGAAGTGAAGGTGGACGACTGCACCATCTGTCGGTGCCACAGCGGGGACTGGTGGAAGCCTGCGCAGTGCTTGCGGCGGGAGTGCCTCAACGGTCAGCCGTCATCATAGAAACCCTCCGGAGATGAAGAGAGGGACACCGATGCGATGTGCTGTCAGCGGCCCACCTTATGACAGCGAGAGACTGACTGACTGGCAGGAGCACAATTCCTCTGGCAAACTGAGACGGCTGGACAAGCTGAGATACATGGGACATGGACTCGACATAATGTACACACACACACACACACACACACAAAAGTCCTTGGCAGAATCATAACAGTTTGTCTTTCACTGAGAACACAGTTTATACTATGGTGAACCTCATGGAAACATTTCACTCCAAAATCAAAAGAAATAAATGAAAAAATGGTACTTTGCATAAAGAAAATAGTCTATTTTAGGACTTTATGATATTTGCATTTTCCCCCATAAAAATGTCCCCCACCCCAATTTTCATTTTATGTTTTCCCTCAGAATTACTTAAATTAATCCAAATGCGCTTTTTTTTTGTAATTGCCAATATTCGCAGGGATTTTCATTCGATTCTCATAATGAAATTCAATGTTTTTTACTGTATTAATATAAAAAAATATTAAATGATTAAATATCAAAATAAGATGACATTATTAAAAATAAATAAATATTAAAAAACATTCAAACCATCTTAAATCACAAATTAAAGTACAACATTCTATCATAATATATAAATACTTTATAACAAAGATTAAAAACTTTTTTTTGCATTACATTAAGAATTACAGTACAATACAATTACGAGAATGGCGATTTTTGCATTGCCGCAAAATGACAATTTAAGTGCAAACGTGCTTAAGTGTTAAAATACCTTAATAGTCCTAAAACGAGCTTCATTTTCTTCAGGCAAAATGCAATTTATTATCTTGTTCATTTGGTGTGAAATATGATCTGGGCATGTTCTTGACAAGTTTCATGAGATTCGCCCACTAGTTTTATTTGTTGCTTATGCTGCTTAAACACAGTGTTTGTATATTTCACGAGACCTTGAGTGCTCAATGAGAACATTTAAACCTAAAATAGCACCTCAGTCCTTTGAAGATAAAGTTGATCATTTTAGTCTGAGCTGACAGTGAGATACAGCATTACATACACAAAACCACACCTCCACTAGTCCTGTACAAGCCTCTGAGTGTGTTCCCACATTTGTTAAGTATGAGTAATATTTAGTGGTAGTATTACTAGGGGGTATTAACTTGTTCATTAAGAAACATGATTAATGACAAATTTGATTTTAATAGTTTAATTAGTGAAACAAGAGGGAATAAGGTAGATCTACTCCACATAATTGGAAAATGGCCCAAGAGAAACAGCTGAGAAGCGAAGATAATTCAGTGATTGTTTAGGGATATAATTTTATTGCTTCATTCATATGAGAAAACTGAAGAATGGAAAAAATATGATAATGGATCCAGCAGTATTGGTTGGAAACAATTTCCATGAATAGGGTACACTTTAACTTCCTGTGTTGTTAACCATTAGTATAGAGACATAAATATTTTATGTAATATAATAATTATATTAAAGCTGCAGTCCGCAGTTTTTCCTCTTTGTCGCCATCTCTGTTTGAAATCTGCAATTGCAGTTATTCGCGGAATAGTCAACTTTACGTGGGTTGTGCCTCGGCACGGCACAGCGCGGATGAACACAATGTTTGAGGAGAGTGTGCTGTGCAGCTGTCAGTCACCGCGCCGGTGTGGATACTGTCATTCGGAATCACAGATTATACTTTTTGGAAGTATGACCAACATAAGAATTTTCACCCTAAATTGTCATCTAAACAAGTAAGAAACATCCACTTTTGTTCTGACCAACTAAGGGAAAGGAAGCATTGCAGTAAATCGCGCTGATTAAATCTAACGATCGCTTATCATATCACGTCAAACCGTGCAAATTATACTTTGTTGTCAAATTGTTAATGTTAACAACATCAGCATTGCGTGACTACATTTAATGCCCTTCAGATATTTATCCTTGTTTTCGCATGGGCCCGGTTGCAGTTTTTCAAACTCTCAGTCCAAAGTCTTTTGTATTTTACAGCGGGTGAATCTGTTGTCAATGGTGATTGTCCTTGAACCTTTCTGGATCCGCCATCAAATTAATACGTTTAATTATATCAAGTGCAGTGAGAAAAGGCTAAATCTCCACCTTCAGCATCCTCACACGCAATAGAGCCTACTAGCCGAGACTCCTTCTTTATGTGTACAGATGTGACGTAATGACGCAAAGACATGCTCGAATCTCCCGCGGAAATCCACCAGTACCACTGGAATTAAAAACATTATTACAAGCTTACCGCTTTGAATCGAGCTAAGGCAAGCAGATAGTTTTGAACACTGGCTGGTTATGTACTTGCTCAAAAATATATTTTGGATCATTTTTAACCCCAAAAAAGTTACGGACTGGAGCTTTAATATATTATAATGTGGTAAAAAAAAATTAAAGAAATTATTACAGCAAGGATGCATCAATATAAGTTCAATTGCGTTTTTTAAAAACGTTCTATTCATAGAATCCTAAGAAAAAAATCAGTTTCCACAAAAACTATTAAGCAGCACAACTGTTCTCATTGATAATAATATAAAATTTTCTTGAGCCCCAAATTAGCATATTAGAATGATTTCTAAAGGATAGTGTGACACTTAAGACTGGAGTAATGATGCTGGAAACAAATTCAGCTTTGCATCACAGGAATAAATTACATTTGAAAATATATTCAACAGTTATTTTTTATTGTAATAACATTTTAGAATATTACTGCATTTTGTTCAATTAAATGCAGCCTTGGTGAGCAGCATAAGAGCATAAGAGACCCCACATTTTTTAACAGTATATATATATATATATATATATATATAAATAATAAAGTGTATAATAACTAATATGTCTATTCAAAGACGACAACAAAATCAGCGTCAGGCACATTCCAATCAAATATCATAGAAAATAAATATGTTAAATAAAACGGCTCCTCAATATTTAGCTTGACCTCCTCTTTCTGAAGATAAAGCACCTTCTTTCATTCATCATTTGTTAAATAAAACGTTGTCGTTTCAGGCAATATACTGTACCCTATTAATGGAAAGCATCCTCTAACGTTAAACCTGTGCAACCAACAAATCTCTACCGTAATGCAGTTTTCTCATCTGTTTGCAAAACCCTTGTTTTTCTCTCCCAAGCCCAAACAAGCACGCTTTCCTAAAGTCTAGCAGCTTGAACTTGTTATCTAAGCAATTAGCCATCCCACAACAGCCTACTTTAATTTTCCTTAATCAGGCAATATGCAGTGATAAATTACCCGCCTCTGCCCTCTGTGGTACTGCCCGGCAGACATGCAGCCCGGCACGCAGAGGGCTAAAACAAAGGAAGGAATCTGCATACAGTCTGGCGCTTCAAAGCCACTTCTTTTGATCTTCCGCGCATCCGTAACCTGGGCTCACGGCAATTTCGCTCGCAGCTTAGAAGGAAGATGTTGATCAACTGCACTTTGAGAAGCACTTAAACCAATAAGAACCTCTAGACAGACTCTGAGCCGCTTTCAGCCCACATTTGCTGATGATTTTTCTGTATCGTAACACATCTGTGCAGAGACCCATTACAGCACGACGTTAGCAAAGACCATCATTCGTCGGTTTAACTAATGCATAGCTTATAGACCCCCTTTAAAACAGGCACCCACCTCCGAGATTTCCTTTTTTCTTACTTTTCACAATGATGAATACCAGTCATTAATTCAATAGGAACTTCACCAAGCACCTGTGATTTATCATAGGTATTTTTTCCCCCTCCAAGAAAATTCAATGCCTTTAACCTTTTGGACTCTGTTTCTAAGCTCTGATGGATGAGCTACTTAATAACAGATCTGCAGATTTGGTAATGAGACGACAATGAATGCAATAGCGTGACCGCCAAAGGTGCTAGATATATATATATTGTCCTAGATATAAATATATATTCGCCCACTGCTTTTTACTTCATCTTTGGGGTCTCTTGTCTCTCTATAGCTCAAGGTAGAAGCCAAGACTTGTCCAATAAGCCAGCAAATCATTAGGTCTCAATTGAAATAATGAACCGTAAAAGTCTATAAATGACATATAGCGAATGACAAATGATTATTAAACAGTCCCGAGAGTCTTCTTCACACTGGACGTTTATTACAGCTCTGAGCATATAAAAAAAAACAGATGTTGTGTAGCAACATCTAACACAGAGACAGGATGATACTAAAAGAACAGATGAGTACACAAGCTGTCATGAGCAAGACTGTGAAGAACTAAGCACCAGACATGACCCACAGCTACAAGCAAAGCTCAGGCTTATGCGAGCGGGCGATCTTTTTGTTTCCGTGGGTTCTGTTTCTCTTTTTGTCCTAAGCCTGCCCATCCCAATGGATGCAAGGTGCTTACCTTTCCAAAATCACAGACTAGAGGAGGATTTCTGAGCTAAACTGCCCTCTGCTGTAGACTGATACATCTACTGTAGCACCAAAACTATAACATCAACAAGAGCTTCAAAGCACTGTGGGAAACTCATTCATTTAATTACTACACAATCTCAGATTACGATGTCATGATATATGGCTGTAAAAACTGACCAGATCACATTTCACCCTAAAAATCAAATATTGCGCAATGAAAATGATGACTATTTGGGGATCAATAAGGATTGGTTTTCAATGTGACATTGTTTTAAGTACCTTTACATGCACCAAATTCTCTATAACCAATCTGGACGTATTGTTTTTGAAGTTTTTTTTTGTATGTAGGCTACCATATTTTCTGGAATATAAGTCGACTAGAATTTGAAAAAATCACATTTTATTATTACATTCAGAAATAATGTAAAATATTGGTAAATAAAACTTTTACAAACACGATAAACCCGTATTTTAGTTCCCATCACAAAATCCCACAATAAATCCTTTCAAATGAATGGTAATTTCCATTCCATTATTCTCAAGGTTGAATCTTAATACATTAGTAAGTTTAAAGAAATATTTAATACTACTATTAATTTGGCCATTAAAGTATAAATATTGAATGTTAACATTTGTTAAAATCACTATAATTTATTTATTGCATTTATTGCATTGCAGTAAGAATTTAAGGAAGGGATTTGCTTAATTGACACAATAATATTGTATAAAATGACAACAAATCTTAATGGTGCTAAAAATGTGATTTGATGTTCTTTGTTTAAAATCGTTCTCTTTATTTTGTTGGTGAAATATGACCTGGACATGTTCTTTACACAATTTTTGTGAGAGT